GTCAGAGAGTTGAAGGCTATGGCAAAGCAAAGTGGCCTACATGGATATTCTCGAATGGAAAAGCTGAATTGATTACCTTACTCGGTTTGGAATACAACAAACCCCAGACTGTTAGAGAACTCAAAGCTCAAGCGAGAAACAGTGGGCTGAGAGGTTATTCTCGAATGAGAAGAGCTGAATTGATCGCTTTACTAGATAATAATGATGTTGAACATAATGATGATGTTGAGAATAAACAACAAGAATTAATATTTGTACCCATATCCGCCGGCGTTGGTAAATATCTAAGAGGTTGGAAGATGGATATTAATTCCAACATGGATGTTAACGATATTAAGCCCATCATATCGAGTAAAATTAACGAGGAGTTAGATGATTTACATAGTATAAAATACCAGCTGACGATTAAAATGTTATTGAGTAAAAGTAACACAGACGATAGCACCGAATATACGGAACCATATTTCCGTAGCAATCAAGAAGTTATAACCGAATCCGATACTATAAACGCATCATTAGATACATCAATTCAGAGAATACAGGAAACTTTAGAACGCTGGACTAATAGAGGTTCGGGTTGGGGTGTGGATAAAATCGATAGTTTATATTTAGATATAGCAAATTATATGCCCTTCAAAGGTGGATCTTATATAGATTTACCCCCGTATTATAAGAAGAAAAAAGCCATAATTAACGTAAAAAATAAATCCGATGACTGTTTAAGAATGATGATAAGATCTGCATTGTTCCCCGTAGACAAGCATCCGGATAGACCTTCTAGCTATCCCCAAAACGATGGACTCAACTTCGATGGTATAGACGAACCTACACCAATATCACAAATTGATAAGGTGGAAAAGCAAAATAATTTAGCTACAAATGTTTTCGGACATTCTAAAGGAATTGTTGTACACAGGATAAGCTCCGCTCCGGAACATATCCCCAGAATCAATTCATTTCTGATCGAAAAAGATTGAAAATATCATTATACGTGGATAAAGAGTTTAAACAGGCTATTATACGATCAAACTAAATATAAGGGAAAGAAATATTTCTGCGAAAGATGCCTACATGGGTACAGCAGACAAGATCTACTAGAAGCGCATAAAGAAGACTGTAGAGGTGTTGGACAGACCGCTATCAGGATCGATATGCCTAAAGAGGGAAAAAATATATTAAAATTTGAACATTATTGTAATCAAATGCCAGTACCGTACGTAATTTACGCCGACTTCGAAGCGCTTATCAAACCCATAGAAAATACCAACCATAATACTCAAGATAGTAGTTTTATGTACAAAACTCAAGAACATATTCCTTGTGAGTTTGGATATATAGTTGTAAGGTATGATGGGAAAACAAACCCGCCCGTGATTTACAGAGGTCTCGATGCAGCGGGAAAGTTCCTAGAATATCTACAAAATGAAGAGAGAATAATCAGGGAAAAATTATCGTGTAAGAAACCCATGTGTATGAGGAGGGATGATTGGAGGGCCCATAATACAACGAGTTGTCACGTTTGTAATAAACCCCTGGATGGGGATTCCGTAAGAGATCATTGCCACGTCACGGGTAATTATCGGGGAGCCGCGCATAACGAGTGTAACTTGAAACTACAAATGAATTCTCAAACAAAATCCCCGTTGTGTTTCACAACCTTAGGGGATACGATTCACATCTCATTATGCAAGCTATCTCAAAGACCGACGGCGGTTTAACGTGAATTCCTAATAATATGGAAAAATACATATCGTTCTCGTTGACTAAACCTATACATTATAGGGACAAGGATGGGAAATCTAGAATAAAGCAAAGTAATGGGCTTAGACTCCGTACAGTTTCTGTTATCTTCCCTGGACAATTTAGCTAATGCAAAACAGTCCCGATGACTTTGCGATAACAAATCAATATACCGATAAGATAACTCGTCATTTGTTGCTGAGAAAAGGTGTATATCCTTACGAATATATGGATGATTGGTCTAGATTCGAAGAAACTGAATTACCACCCCTCGAATCATTCTATAGTAACTTAACAGAATATAAAATAACAGATGCCGATTATGAACACGCTCTGACGGTCTGGGATAAATTAGGTTGTAAGAATTTAGGCGATTATCACGATCTGTACTTAAAAACCAATGTACTGTTACTCGCCGATATATTCGAGATATTTAGAAAGACATGTTTAAAACAATACGGCTTGGACCCGGCATGGTACTATTCCAGTCCCGGAAGACCGGCGTAGAACTAAAACTACTCACAGATTACGATATGCACTTGTTTATTGAGAAAGGATTAAGAGGTGGTATATTGATGGCAGCTAAAAGGTATTCTAAGGCTAATAATAAATTAGTGGAAGGATATGATCCGAGTAAACCGCGACACTCACATATCATATCTCGACGCCAACAATTTGTACGGATGGGCTATGAGTCAACCTTTACCCACGGGTGGTTTTGAGTGGGTCAATGATATCGAAGTGAATGATATCCATAATATCCATAATAATGATGTGAATAAAGGATACATACTAGAAGTTGACTTGAAATATCCAAGTTCGTTACATAAAGATCATAACAGTTATCCCCTAGCTCCCGAAAGATAAATGGTTAATAAAGATTGGATGTCGGAATATCAACGCTCCTTGATGGGTAATAGTAGGTTAGCTAATGTAGAAAAACTCGTACCAAACTTGATGGATAAGACAAAATATATAGTTCACTACAGAAATCTCCAGTTGTATCTATCGTTAGGTATGAAACTAAAGAAAATACATAGAGTTCTAAAGTTTGATCAAAGCCCTTGGATGGAGCCCTATATAAGGTTGAACACAGATTTAAGAAAGATAGGTACCAGCGATTTCGAAAAGAATCTGTATAAGCTCATGAATAACTCAGTATTTGGTAAAACTATGGAGAATCTAAGGAAGCGTGTTGATGTTAAATTAGTCAGATCTAATGAGGAAGAAAGACTCAGGAAACTTATAGCCAGTCCGGCTTTTAACAGAAGCAAGATATTCGATAACGACTTAGCCGCGTTGCATATGCAGAAGAGTAATATAAAATTCAACAGACCGGTGTACGTCGGTGTGAGTATTCTCGACTTTTCAAAACACTTAATATATGACTTTTATTACAACGAACTTAAGAAGCAATACGGCGATAGATGCGAGGTGTTATATACCGACACAGATTCTTTGTTGATGGAAGTACAAACCGAGGATGTGTATAAAGATATGGCAGAAAAAATAGATATGTACGACACGAGCGATTACCCTTAAGATAATCCACTGCACAGCGTTGTAAAGAAAAAGGTTTTAGGTAAGATGAAGGATGAATGTGCTGGGACCCCTATAGCGGAGTATGTCGGATGAAGACCTAAGATGTATTCTATAAAGAAGTCCGATAATTGGGAGATAAGAAAAGCTAAGGGTGTTAAGAAGTATGTTGTAAAAAAGCATATCAAACAGGAACAGTGTAAAGAATCATTATTCAACTGTAGAACGTTCAAACACGAGATGAACTCTTTAAGAAGTTACAATCACAGGATATATGGATTAAGAATGAACAAGACATCATTATCCCCCTTAGATACAAAGAGATGGATTGATAATGATGGTGTAACTACCTATGCTTATGGTTATGGTGGTAATACCGTACCGTCGGGAACTATGAACAACTCTTCTCGTACAAATGCCCTACCAGGTCCATCTTGAAGATAATAAAGACTAGGCTCTCCTTCTTTCGTAACCAATCGACTAATGTTATACGTCTTAAGAGACCATATGGGATCGGTTGCACAACGTAGGCCTCCATCGAGTTCACCTGCCTGGTATAAATATCTTACCCTTACTCTATCCGGAAGTTTTCGTTCTTTGCCTCTCCTCGGTGCTGAAGATTCGGAAGTCACGGATTTCATTTTAATCGCGTCGGATGGTTTCTTCCCTATTAATCTCGTTACTTCATTATTCAGCGCTGATACAACGGCTGATAATCGTGTCACCCATTCGGTTGATCTCAATCGTTCCGATTTCATTTCGATCCCATACTGATAGCCAAACAAACGTTCCGCTAATGTCCTGTTAAATCTTTCGACGATAGCTTGACTGCGATGGGCCTCTCTTTCACCACGCCTGATTTCGACATTGTGCTTTGTTAACAGTTTTGTTATCGATCCCATAAACTCGCGACCGGGATCTACTTGAAATAGCTTAGGCCATTTTAGTGGTCCGCGTTTATATATGCGGCTCAGTGCATTAGCTACTTCTGTTGAATCTTTCGAGGTTAATGGCTCAGGCTCTTTGTATCGACTAGCCACATCCACTACTGTTAAAGCGTATTCATACGTTTTGCGTTTTACCTTATCGTGGGGAAGAAACAATAGGTCAGCCTGATGAACTTCATTCGTTGTAAAAATATCAAACTTCTTCCTCGGTATATAACGTGGTGCCGGTAAGTATATTTGCCACATCGCTTGTTTCTTTAACCAATCCTTGGCCACATCTTTAGATACCTTAGCCGCGGTTGCTAATTTTTTTATTGCTCCTACACCTTTCCAATATCCTCGTGGGCCATAGTAAATTTTATTCATTATTAATTAATATTGATATTTCTTTTAAAACGACTTTCGCATCATCATTTTTATACTAATAGAAGCAATGATTGGCCCCAGGTATTGGTGAGCTAGAGCCAATTTAAATTAATCTCATGACTATCATTGAATCACATAGTCATTTGCACATAAAAAATTCCCTCTGTAGTAGCAGTATAGGTATATGAATCCGTCTCCAGTGGAAGTGGTCCAGAACCCCTATTACCTATACTACTGCCTGAAATATCAAAGTGGCCTTAAACAAAACTCACTCACTCACTCTACAATACACTTACAAACCGTGATAAACTGGTTACTCATTAGTGTGACATTATGATTATGGTATTTATTTTAAATGGGAGTGTATTGTACTTTTATTATGCCCAGACTGACACTTTTTCTTTGCAGCACTGGCACAATGTGAAGCGATATATCGAAATGAAAGGCTGCATTTCACAGCTCTTACACTGCTTTGTATGGAGAAAGGACGACTGCATTTGTCAGACTTGACCGAAGTCAGTGAATCTTTACAGTCACACATCACATGGTCTTGTCAGTTGTCTGGAGTTGAGGAGCTGAGTCCAGTGCAGGCAAAAACATGTCTACGTGCCTTAAATACCACTCTCCTTAAAATTGAAGATGATGTTGTTCAATTTAGGCAAGAGGAAACGCTATCTCACATTAAAGATATACTCACAGACACTTCTGTTGAATACATGGCGAAAGTAGATCTTGAGTTCATATACCTGCATGTAAAACTTCATCATACGGATGCTTCTATGGATGAAGAGCTTGTATTTACCCTCAGCTTAGATAGGGCAAGACAGAAGGGTCTTGCACAACGATTTGCTCAGGAGATAATGAAGCATAATTTTGCTTTAACTTTGTCGCACCAAGCAACTGGAAAGCATGCACTTTGTGTTCAAGTGGCCAGGCTGATCAAGCAATATATGCAGACAGGTAGTATGACAGAACTATTTGCGTCACCTGATATCAAACATGGCGGAAACTTCCTCAACTGGTTGTGTTTTGGTAGAAATGCTGAATTATACAAAGTATTGTCGATGTATATCCTGGAGGACGTAAAAGAAGAGTGTTTGATCTACTGCTGCGTGAGTGGTAATTTAGACGTACTTCAGCTTCTCCTAGAAGACATGGATCTCAAGGATGTACTGTCCTTGAAGCCAAAGATGCAAGTAGTGCAAGGTATTCATAGCTGTGGGATAAAGACACAAGCTCTGGCAACTCACTTCTTGCCACCCTTACACCTCTCCTCCTACTATGGCCACACAGATATTGTCAAATGTCTTCTTGAGTTGGGATGTGACATCAATGCCCAGCTTCCTGACGAGTTTGATGGGAGAGAGGGTCCAGTTCCTCCAGGATCAACACCAGCTGCAGCTGCCACATCTGGAGGACACACAGCTGTGCTGCAGTGTCTCATTGACCACCATGCTGCCATGAATCTTGTAGATTGTAACAATAACTCCCTCCTGCATTTAGCCTGCAAAGGAGGACATACAGATGCTGTAGCGTTACTCATCAGTGAGTGTGATACGTCAGCCAGGAATATAGATGGAAACACACCCCTCCACCTGGCATGTGAGGAGAGAAAACTGAAGGTTGTTGAGGTCCTGCTCAAAACAAATGTAGATGTTACTTTGCTTAACTACCAAGCCTTCACACCTTTTGATATTATTTGCCAGAAGGGATACCTTGATATTGCTATATTAGTGTTAAATGCCACGTCATACCCGCTACCGCATGATAGTTATAATACACCGTTACATGCAGCATGCAGGGGGGGATACACAGAACTTGTGAAAATTTTGTTACGTTACGATTTAAACAGATCAGTTTGTAATAATACATCCCGTATGAATTGTCGTTTTGAGAATTCCAGATATTTGATATTTTCAATGAGAGGCAATGATGTCAAACACACACCATTATTTGTGGCTTGTGAGAATGGTCATATTGATATTGTCAGACTATTGATAGAGAAAGGCGCTGATGTAACTGCTGCTGCTAAAGATGGTTGCACACCTCTACATTGTGCCTGTAAGAATGGTCATATTGATATTGTCAGACTGTTGATAGAGAAAGGCGCTGATGTATCTGATGCTGCTTGTTACACACCTCTACAATGTGCCTGTAAGAATGGTCATATTGATATTGTCAGACTGTTGATAGAGAAAGGCGCTGATGTATCTGCTGCTGCTGCTGCTGATGTTTACACACCTCTACATTGTGCCTGTGAGGATGGTCATATTGATATTGTCAGACTGTTGATAGAGAAAGGCGCTGATGTAAATGCTGCTTTTTATGGTGACACACTTCTACATTGTGCCTGTAAGAATGGTCATATTGATATTGTCAGACTGTTGATAGAGAAATGCGCTGATGTATATGCTGCTGCTAATGATGATATTGGTTACACACCTCTACATTGGGCCGTTATGAATGGGCATATTGATATTGTCAGACTGTTGATAGAGAAAGGCGCTGATGTATCTGCTGCTGATGCTGATAATGATGATGGTTACACACCTCTACATTTGGCCTGTAAGTATGGTCATATTGATATTGTCAGACTGTTGATAGAGAAAGGCGCTGATGTAACTGCTCTTGATGGGTATCATGGCACACCTCTAATTTGGGCCTGTGAGAATGGTCATATTGATATTGTCAGACTGTTGATAGAGAAAGGTGCTGATGTATCTGCTGCTACACCTGTTGGTTATACACCTCAATATTGTGCCTTCGAGAATGGTCATATTGAAATTGTCAGACTGTTGATAGAGAAAGGCGCTGATGTATCTGCTGCTGATGATGATGGTTACACACCTCTACATTTGGCCTGTGAGAATGGTCATATTGATATTGTCAGACCGTTGATAGAGAAAGGCGCTGATGTATCTGCTGCTGCTAAAGCTGGTTACACACCTCTACATTGTGCCTGTAAGAATGGTCATATTGATATTGTCAGACTTTTGATAGAGAAAGGCGCTGATGTAACTGCTGCTACTAAAAGTGGTTACACACCTCTACATTGTGCCTTTGAGAATGATCATATTGATATTGTCAGACTGTTGATAGAGAAAGGCGCTGATGTATCTGCTGCTGCTGTTGGTTATGATGGCACCCCTCTACATTTGGCCTGTAAGTATGGTCATATTGATATTGTCAGACTGTTGATAGAGAAAGGCGCTGATGTATCTGCTGCTGCTGATGGTGGTTACACACCTCTACATTGGGCCTGTGAGAATGGTCATATTGATATTGTCAGACTGTTGATAGAGAAAGGCGCTGATGTATCTGCTGCTGCTAAAGCTGGTTACACACCTCTACATTGTGCCTGTAAGAATGGTCATATTGATATTGTCAGACTGTTGATAGAGAAAGGCGCTGATGTAACTGCTACTAATAGGCATGGCGACACATCTCTCTCACTGGCCTGTGAGAATGGTCATATTGATATTGTCAAATTGTTTGAGCAAGACATTGTGATGGCCGTGGGAAAATGTGATTCTACACTTACAGCGCTTGTTTTGAAGAAAACTATTATGGATTTTGTAAACATCTCAACAGAAAGAAACAAGCCATATGCCATTAGTTGTAACACTATTCTTCAGAAATGTTTGAAAATGAACATATGTGAAATTTCTTCAGTTTCAAATATGCTCTCGACTCTTAAGCAATATCAAGACAAGATGGTGCTGGTCAAGCTTTTGACTTCAATTTGTAATTGTGAAATAATAAAAAACCTGTTAATTACACTAAAAGTGACTAATTTTCAAGACACATTACATTATGCACTACTTCAAAAAGCTGTTGCCAAGGGTGATGCACATTGTGTATACTTTCTGACAAGAGGTCATGCATTGAGGTCATTTTTAGACAATCAGTTGTTGAAAATGATGGTAGAAGCTGTTCAAAACAAACACTTCACTGTGTTTCAAATGTTGCACGATGTCCCACATGTTCATGATTCAAGTGATCAGTTGGTATTCCATGCATGTGAACATGGACAGGTGCAGGTTTGTAATGTTTTGTTGTCATGTGGATCCTGCCACAGTGGCAGATGTTTGATTGCAGCATTCAAAGTGAGGAACGTTGTGCTTGTAGAATTGTTACTTAAATGGGATGTTAACGTGAATGCCTACGATGGTAAGAGAAATTCCTCTCTTCATCTAGCATGTGAACTAGGAGATGACAACATAGTAAAATTATTGATTGAAAAAGGTCAAAGTGTACATGGAACTAACAAACAGATGGAGACGCCTTTATTTGCTGCAAGTCGACATGGACACGTTGCCGTTGTGAAACTGGTGCTATCGCACGGCGCAGACATAACAAAGATAGACATCGAGGGTAACTCAGTACTTCATTGTGCATGTCTCTCTGGTGAAGTGGATTTACTTCAGTTGTTTATACAGCATATCTCACTTAAAACAAAGCATGTGCTTGGACGAGGGGGAGCAGTGTCTCTTCACCGTGTACTTTGTTTTTCAAATATAAATGGAGAATCGCTTCTCCATGTTGCGTGTAGAAAAAAACATAATCAAGCTGTTGAAATATTGCTTCAAAACAAGATGTCAATGTATGCGAAAGATAACAAAGGCAATACGCTTGTTTCAATGACAGAGAAGCAGAAGTCTCTGTTTGTAGTTCTTTGTAACTTTTCTTGCGAGTTTCAAGAAAAAGATTCTGCTGGAAATACCCTACTACACATTGCTTGTGATAGGGGTTATATCGAATGTGTTGATGTACTGTGTAGAAGAGGAGCGAATGTATCAGCTTCCAATAACAAACTGGAGTATGCTGTACATAAGGCTGCGGAGAGCGGTAGTGTGGAAATCATGGACATCCTTTTAGCACATGGAGCCGATATAAATATGACTGACATTGATAAACAGACCCCTCTCCATCTTGCATGTGCTGAAAATAATTTAGAAATCGTGGAGATTTTGATACGAAACAAAGCAGATGTAAATGTGTGTGATAAACATCATGTAACCCCCCTACACTTTGCATGCAGAGATGGGTTTACAGACATTGCTGCTGTGTTGCTAAAGGCATTTGCAGATGATGGAGTAGTTTCTGAGAATAATGCTACACCACTAGTTTGTGCTTGTGAAAGCGGACATATCAATTGTGTCAAACTCTTACTGAGGGCTGGAGCTAATGTAAACGTAACGGGGCATCGAGGCAATACTCCATTACATCGAGCTTCTGCTCAGGGCCATGAAAGTGTTGTGAAAGTATTACTTTCATGTGGAGCTGATCCACTGCAAGGAAATGTCAATGGTAAACTTCCCCTTCATCATGCAGTTTTATGGGGCCACCTTGGAATAGTCAAAGTACTGATAGACAAATGCAAGTCTTATCTGAAGGAATCTTCAAATATGCTCCTTTTGCTCGAATCAGTCTGTTCAAGAGGCTATGTGGAGATACTAAAAAGTCTGATGGAATTCTTTGATCAGTTTTTAATGCCACCCAAGAACATGTTTCATCTAATTAAGACTTCAATCATTTCAAACCACACTGAACTTCTGACTATTCTAGAGGGAAAAGGTTGTAATATTCAACAAAGAGACGATCGTGGATGGAGTATACTGCAAGTGGTGTGTGAATCTGAAGGCATTGATCAAACCTCATTGGACAAAGTTCTTGAATTAGGGTTTGATCTAAGAGAAATTACAGAACATGGGGAATCGCTTCTTCACATAGCCTGTAAAATGGATAATATCGAAACAGTAAAGCATTTGATTGAGAAAGGTGCCAATGTTCATTCTAAAGACAATTCAGGTGACACAGTTCTTCATGTGGCATGTGCACACGGATACTTTGATACAGCTACCGTCCTGATTAAGAAGGGGTTGAGCATCAATGAAAAGAACTTGAAAGGCTTAACTTCACTTGACATTGCGATTGCAAATAAACACTATGGAGTGACCTGTTTGTATGATCCCTATTATGCTTTGTCCAACAGTCGACCTAGAATCAGCATGATGTCTCTTCACCACATATGCCGTGACAAAAAAATACAGCTACTCTACAATTCTGAGATTGTGTTTTCCGAGGTGGAAAGTGATGGGAATTCTGCTCTTCACATTTCCTGCTTGGAGGATTCAGATGAAATTGTACAACTGCTTGTCATAGCTGGAGCTTGGTTGAATTTACGAAATACCCTTGGGGAGGCGCCAGTGCACGTAGCTTGTCGTGGTACATTGTCTTGTCTCAAAGCTATGACTGATGCAGTAGTCAACAGGGATCTTTTAAAGACAGTTGTAACATCACGAGACAGAAATAACAATACTCCATTGCACACTGTAGCGCATGAACGAAAGTTTGAACATCTATGTTTACTTCTGGAGAAGGGTGCTGATGTTAACTTAGCCAACAACTTTGATCAAACAGCTCTGCACATTGCTTGCTATGTTGGTGATGCGAACATAGTCGTGACATTACTAAACGCAAGAGCTAATATCTTAGCGAAAGATAAACGTGGAAACACACCTCTCCACATCATATGCACAGAAGGTAATCTGTCCTTGTTAAGACTGATAAATCACAATGAAGCAGTGATTGCCACACGAAATTATGAAGGAAGAACACCTCTCCATGAGGCAGTCAATCGTGGATATCATGCCATGATCCTGTACATGATGACTGAGTACTGGCACTTCACCCAGTCCGATCTGTCTGAGGAGGGGCTTCAACACTTTATTATCAGAATGGGCAGAGAAGACTTTACAAAGTTGTTGATGGGCGAAACGATTTGCCCAGACTCTGAAGGCAATACACCTCTCCACCATGCCGCAGAGACCAAGAGTCTCGTTACTGTAAAGACGTTGATGAGACGAGGATACAGCTGTCAAGCTACAAATGAACTGGGAGAAACACCTCTGTTTAATGCATGCTTAAAAGGAAGTGCAGCTATAGTAGAACTCTTTTTGAAGGAAGGCTCTCCACCATATATCACTAATGACAACAACATGACGCCGCTCCATGTAGCCTGTCAGACAGGACATGTAGATATTGTGGTCCTAGGCGCCAGGACTCACCTGGGCCAGACAGTACTTCATCTGGCATGTATGTCCGGGAATGCAGATGTTGTTGAAGTTTTGCTGAAAGCAGGATCAGATATAAATGCACGGGACAACAATCTAGATACTCCCTTGCATATGGCAGCCATACATGGTAAAGTTGATAGCATCATTCTCCTGGCTAAATGGGGAGCAAGAGATGTACAGTGTAACCAACAGGGTGATTTAGCTCTTCATCATGCATGTCGTGAAGGTCGTACTGATGTAGTGAAGACTTTACTGAATATTGACAGTGATGCTTCAGATTTGAATCATCAAGGTGTATCTCCGGTTATGCTGGCCTGTGATCGAGACTGCGAGTCAATTTTGGAGTTACTGCTTCAAAGGTTATTGGTTGAGGTGCAGATAGAAAGCATACAACCAACGGACGACTCTGTCCACGAGAAATATGTTACTAACTTGAACTACTGCCTTTATTGTGCGTGTAAACACAATTACCTCGGAACATTGCAACTTTTGATCAAATACAATGTTGATATTAATCACATATTCACTGACGCTGAGTTAAAGGTCATCAATAGACCAAGCATTGAAGAGTTGTCACAAAGTGAGAACGAACACAGAACATTACAACCAACTGCCCTGCATATAGCCTGCTATAGAGGCCATGCCACCTGCGTAGAAACTCTCATGAGATCAGGTGCCCTCTCTGAATCAAAGACATCCTCTGGAGACACGCCTCTACACGTGGCTTGTATACACGGACATTACGATACAGTGGCATTATTACTCAATGGGGGCGTCTCAGCATCCCCTGTTTCTGATAATGGCACAACACCTTTACATTACGCATGCAGGGGTGGGTTTGAAGATGTCGTATCGAGGCTGTTGGCGGCTGGAGCTGACCCTGACGCCGAAGATGGTGATGGGAAAACACCCCTGGCGGTAAGCAGAGGAGGAGGAGTAGCCGACATGTTCCTTAAGAGGTGAGTAGCTTGTAGGTCTCTAAGTAAAGGTTGTATTTGTAAACTTGTGAATAAGGTAAGAGTGAGTGAGTGAGTGAGTTTGGTTTAACGCCGCTTTCAACAGTATTCCAGTTATATCGCGGCGTGTCAGCTTAATGTGGGAGGAAAGCCCGAAGTGATGCAGGTCTCAGACGTTTACCACTTTGGTGAAACCCACGAGCACGGGTATGGTGCTGACAAACCTAGAAACATAATCGGGGCGAACCAGGATTCGAACCCACAAACATAGGTTTCTGGCGTGCTCAAAGGACGCAAATCTGCACAGCGAATCGTGGCGCCTTAGACGACTGAGCCACCCGTGCCCCCGAATAAAGAAAGAAAGATACGTGTGTGCGGGTTTGCACATGCTTTTGTAATGTCGACTTGAGGTAAAAACCTGACATATCTTAAATACTTCTTATAAAAAATGTTATTGAGTTAAATATCTATGGGCTTTATTACACTATTTGAATAACCAAAATGACTAGCATGACATCATCGTGTGTACTTCACATTCCATATCATTTCCTAGTCATGGAAGTTCACGGAAAAGGGGGAAGGACACATCCCAGGCAGCAGAGGTCCCTCCACAGAAGGTGTCGAAGGAATAACTACGGGTATGGTGGTCTTTCTGCTTTTTACAGGAGAGGTAGTCACCAGGGGTAGCCCAGCATACGGCAGTGCTTCAGTGAATCAGCTTACCGAATAATGAACTTGGCATGTCATGCCCCCATTTGGTGGATTGTTCGTACGTATCTGAAGTTCACTCTCCTGCCACATGTAGACTAATCCTAGAAACTTTGGATAGTTTGGGACCGCCCCTGAGGTCTAGTGGTAGAGCGTCGGTCCGGAGAGCAGAAGGTCCGGGGTTCGATCCCGGCCGCGTCATTCCAACAAACGTTAAAAGATGGTACTTGTTTTTATCCTATCTGGCACTCGGCATTAATGGGTTAAAACAAGGACTGGTCGGCTCGGAGTCAGTATACTGTGTCTGAGTGGGGTATTCATGTTAAACTGCGGCATGGAATGTCAGTGAGCTAGCACTATAAATCGGCATCAGTCCGGACTAGTACAAGCAGCCTCACATACAAACACGACGCTATATAAGTGCAATAATCTTGGACGCGACGTCAAACCCCATTTCACCTCACCTTTGATTGCTTGGCTTCATAAACATCCCATTTTACAATACATCATACATACCTGCTTTCTGGAAAATCGATGAAACGATTTGAATTTTCAAATTGTACATTGTTTTGTTTCAGGTGGTGGAGGTCATTCTGACCCAGGTGACCCTAGACAAGTGCCAAGTCAGGTGATACTTCTAAGATCTGGAGACTTTCAGGGAACCCATGCCGCCTGCCCTGCCCTGATTCCGTCTGTATGTAGAAGACACAGTGCACAGTGCAAATGTGTTCATGTATGAGAAAATGTTGTTTCCATGGCCAGTTCACCATTTTTGGTAATTATAAGTGTAAATAGATATTTAAATGTTTGACAACAAATACAATTAATGTTGAAGTAAGTGTAAATAGATATTTAAATGATTGACAACAAATACAATTTCTTCTTTGATAGGCATTTAGAAGTTGGGAGTACTGAGTAAGGATAAGAATTTATGGATGAACAACTTCTTTATTACAATTAAGAGCGACGTTTCGGTGTAGGTTCTAACACCGTTATGAAGCAAGTGATATACAGAGGGTGGTTGACAAGTATATATATTGCCTCCTACTTGTATATATACTTGTCGACCACATTCTGTATATCACTTGTTTCATAACTGTGTTAGAACCTACACCGAAATGCGCTCTTGATTGTAATAAAGATGTTTATCATCCATAAATTCTTATCCTTACTTAACAAATACAATTGTTGTTGATGTAAGTCTAAATAGATATTTAAATGATTGACAACAAATACAATTGTTGTTGATGTATGTGTAAATTGATATTGAAATGTTTGATAACAAATATGCATTTTGTTTATGTGAGTGTAAATAGATAATTAAATGATTCGCAACAAATACAAATTTGCTTGTGTAAATGTAAAAAAAAAAATTAACAGCATTAATTTTTAATGTTGGTGTACACAGATAATGAAATGTTTTACAACAAACACACATTTTTTTCCTGAAAGTGTTATTAGATAAAATATTTTTAACAACAAATAAACATTTTGTTTATGTAATTGTAAATAGATGTTATATGTTTGACAACAATTACAGATTATGTTTATGTAATTGTAAATTGATGTTATATGTTTGACAACAATTACAGATTTTGTTTATGTAATTGTAAATAGATGTTATATGTTTGACAACAATTACAGATTTTGTTTATGAAAGTGTAAATAGATGTTATATGTTTGACAACAATTACAGATTTTGTGTATGTATTGTAAATAGATGTTATATGTTTGACAACAATTACAGATTTTATTTATGTAATTGTGAATAGATGTTATATGTTTGACAACAATTACAGATTTTGTTGATGAAAGTGTAAATAGATGTTAATCTGTGTGGCAATCAAGGATGCTTTTCTTTGTGTAAAAGCAAATAGATATATTGATGTTTGACAACAAATTCTTTTTTCCTTTGTAAATGTACATAGACATGTAAATGTTTGACAACAAATATTTTGTTTATGTAAATGCAAGTAGATTTCTAACAGATGACAAGAAATGCACATAATGCGTCTTTTAGTTTAAAACGATATTAATTTTGTTTATGTAAGTGTAAATAGATATTACATATTTGACAAATACATTTTTATACAAATACAAGTCATGATTTTCTTTGTGTAGATGTAGTTGATTTATATATGTTTGACAACAAATGCATAATGTCTTTAGCTAAATGTAAATAACTTGTTATGTTTGACAACAAATACACATTTTGTTTATGTAAGTGTAAATAGATGTCAAAATCAAATCTTCTGTATTTTTAAATGTAAATGGTTTTAATAAATGTTTGACAACAAGCTCTTTTATCACATGACATATGTCATATACTCTTATTTGACAAAAACTATTTTGTTTATGTAAATGCAAACAAATTTCCAACCGCTGACAATAAATACACTATTGTTTAAGTAAGTTTACTAAAATACTAAACTGTTTGACAAAAAATACACATTTTGTTTCCAGAAGTGTAAACAGGTATTACATATTTGACAACAAACACACATTTTGTTTGTGTTTTGTTGTTTGTTTGCATTCAGATGTTAAACTGTTTGGCAATAAAATAACATTTTCTTTACGTAAATGCAAAAAGATTTTAAAATGTTTGACAGACTCTTTTATATATATATATATATATATATATATATATATATATATATATATATATATATATATATATATATATATATATATATATATATATATATAAATTTATATTTATATTTATATTTATATTTTTGACAATAAATATTTTGTTTATGTACATGCCAATAGATGCTGACAAGAAATATATATTTTGTTTAGGTTAGTTTAAAAAGATGTCTTAATGTTTGACAAGAACTGCAAATTAGTTTATTAAATGTAAATAAATATGTAAATATTTGAAAACAAATACATATTTTGTAAATGGAAGTGTACATAGGTAATTAAATGTTTTACAACAAATACACATTTTGTTTGTTTAAGTGTAGATAGGTGTTTAATGTTTGGCAACCGTGTAATAGTTTTTTGCGTAAACTCAAATAGATTTATAAATGTTATTAAAATGTTTGACAATAAATACCCAGTTTATGTAAATGTAAATAGAAATTGAAATATTCGATTATGTAAATGTAAGGAGCTCTATCAATGTTTGACAACAAACACAAATTAGTTTATGTAAATGTAAATAAATATTGAAATGTTTTATTTGTTGATGTACATGCAAATAGATTTCTAATGGCTGACAAGAAATACACATTTTGTTTATGTTAGTTTAAAAAGATAAAAAAAAATGTTTGATAACAAACATATATATTTTGTTAATGTAAGTGTACGTAGATAATAACATGTTTTTCAACAAAAACACATTTTGTTTGTGAAGATAGATGTTTAATGTTTGGCAGCCATATACTATTTTTTAAGTGGAAATAGTTTTTTAATGTTATTAAATAGTTTGATAACAAAAACACTGTTTATGTAAATGTGAATAGAAATTGAAATGTTTGATAACAAATACACATTTTGTTTATGTAAATATAAGTAGCTCTTTCAGTGTTTGACAACAAATCCAAATTAGTTTAGGTAAATGTAAATAAATATTTATATGTTCGACAACAAATACATATTTTGTTAATGTAAATGTACATAGATAATTAAACGTTTTTTATCAAATACACATGTTGTTCATGTAAGCGTAAACAGATATTACGTGTTTGACAACAAATACACATCTTGTTTATGTAAGTGTCAATAGATGTAAAGTTTTCTTTGTGTAAATGTTAACAGATTTATAAATGTGTTATAACCAACTCTTTTTCTCTATGTAAATGTAGATAGATATTTAAATGTTTGACAGCAAATATTTTGTTTATGTAAATGCACATAGATTTCTAATAGCTGACACATTTTGTTTATGTTAGTTTATAAAGATATTAAAATGTTTGACATCAAATATACGTAGGTATGACTGGAATACTGTTAAAAGTGGTGTTACACCCAACTCAGTCATTGACAGCAAATACACAGTTTGTTTATGTAAGTGTTAATATATATTTAAATGATTGACAACAAATACAGTTGTTGTTGATGTACATGTAAATAGATATTGAAATGTTTGACAACCAATACACATGTAAGTATAAATAGATATATAAAAGTATTACAACAAATACAAATTAGTTTATATACATGTAAATAAATGTTTATCGTTTGATAACAAATGCCTATTTTGTTACTGTTAATTTAATGTTTGACAACAAATACACATTTTGTTCATGCAAGTGTAAATAGAAGTAATATATTTGACAAGAAATACACATTTAGTTCATGCAAGTGTAAATAGAAGAAATATATTTGACAAGAAATACGCATTTTGTTTATGTAAGTATAAGTAGATCTTTAAATGTTGCCAACAAATATATATAATATTAAATTAAATATCTTACAAAGAATACACATTTTATTCATAAAAGTGGATATATATGTTCAACTGTTTTGCCACAAAATGATTTTTTGTAGATGTAAATAGATTATAAATGCTTGACAAGAACCATTAAACACTATTTTTCTTTGTAAATGTAGATTGATATTCATATTACAACAAAATATTTTGTTTATGTAAATAGGAATGGCTGACAGAAATACACCGTTTGTTTATGTTACTTTAAAATGATATTAAAATGTTTGACAACTGAGACACAGTTTGTTTAAGTAAGTGTAAATAGATAATTTAATGTTTGACAAGGAATATGTATTTTCTTCATGTAAATATAAAGATATTTGTATGTTTGACAAAAAATACACATTTTGTTTATGTAAGTATAAATAAATGTTAAACTGTTTGGCAACAAAATAAATTTGTGTTTATGGAAATGCAAATTAATGTATAAATGTTTGACAACAAATTCTTTTTCATTTTTAAATGGAGATAGATATTTAAATGTTTGACAACAGATGTTTGTTATGTACATGCAAGTAGATTTCTAATGGTTGAAAAGAAATACACATTTGGTTTATGTTAGCTTAAAAAGATAAAAAAAAATGCTTGACAACAAATTCTTATTTTATTAATGTAAGTGTGCATAGATGATCAAATGTTTTTCAACAAATACACATTTTGCTTGTGTAACAGTAAATAGATGTCAAATGTTTGGCAACCATATAATATATTTTGCGTCAAATCAAATAGATTTTAAATTTTGGGTAACACAATTTCTTATTTTATGTAAATGTAGATAGATATTAGATGTTTGACAGCAAATATTGTTTTATGTAAATGCAAATAGATTTCTAGTGGCTGACAAGAAATACACATTTTGTTCTGGTTGATTTAATAAAATATTAAAATATGTGACAATAATATGAGTGGAATACTGTTAAAAGCGGCATTAAACCTCACTCGATCACTCATTGACAACAAATACACAAATTGTTCATATAAGTGTAAATAAATATTTAAATGATTAACAACAAATACAATTGTTGTTGATGTACATGTAAATAGATATAGAAATGTTTGACAACAAATACACATTTTGTTTATGTAAGTGTAAATAGATAAATAAAAGTATCACAACAAATACAAATTATTTTATGTAAATGTGAATAAATGTTTAAACATTTGACAACAAATGCATATTATGTTAATGTAAGCATACAGAGATAATTAAATATTTTATAACAAATGTACATTTTGTTCATGCAAGTGTAAATAGAAGTTAATATTTGACAAGAAATACACATTTTGTTGATGTAAGTGTAAATAGATCTAACTGTTTGGCCACAAAATCAGATTTTTCTTTGTGTAAATGTAAAAAGATTTTTATGTTAGACAACCAAAACACATTGATTGCTTTGGTGTAAATAGATAATGCATGTTTGACAACAAATACACATTTTGTTTATGTAAATGTAAGTAGATCTATAAATGTTGACAATAAATATATATTTTGTCATTTAAATGTATTAAGATAATTAAATGTTTAACAACAAATATTTGTTTATGTACA